ACTCCTCTCCCAACAGGCTTTGATGTGCATGCCTATGAGGATGAACCCTTGCTGCGAGATGAGCTGGTCAAGCTCTACCAAAGCATTGTGGGATCCCTCATGTATGCTTGTACTACCACACAGCCACAGATTGCCTTTGTAGTCTCACAGCTATCTAAGGTCGCCTCTTGTCCTAAAATGTTTCACTTGCAGGCCGCTAAGAGAGTGCTGAGGTACCTGAAAGGTGGTGTCAAGTCAGGTATCTTCTTCCAAACACAGCCCCAGTCTCAGGTCCAGCTAGTTGGCTTCAGTGATGCTGACTATGCTGGAGATTCCGCAAGTCGCAGGAGCCACAGTGGGTATGTGTTCTGTCTGAATGGGGCAGCTATCTCTTGGCAGAGCAAGAGGCAGCCCGTGGTAGCACTCTCTACCACTGAGAGTGAGTATATAAGTCTGTGTCAGTGCATTCAGGAGGGTGTCTGGCTGAGGCGTTTGTTTGGGGAGTTTGGCCATGATCATGCTGGTGGTGTGCCTGTGTTTGTGGATAATCAGTCTGCCATTGCCCTTGCACAGAATGCATGCTTGCATGGCCGCACCAAACACATGCAGGTCCGGTGGCATTTCATTCGGGAGATGGTAGCTGCGGGTGAGGTGATTTTGCAGTGGTGCCCTACCAACCGTCAGGCTGCTGATATTCTTACCAAGTCTCTTCCATTTGAGCGTCATGGTGTGTGCATGACCTTGCTCGGGATGCAGCCCCATAATGACAGAGTTCCCGCAGCAGATGCCGGCGTCTTGGTGCTCCTCTCCTTGGCGGACTCCATGCTCTGGGTGGCCCCAACCCATGGGCAAGGGGGAGTGATAAATGTGTAGTGTTCTGTGGTGTGATTTGCTCTAGCTGGCTGTGGGCTATTGGGATTTGGGCAAAAGAATTGGGTTGGTTGGCTAGGTTTGATCTCGTTACCTTTCCAACCCATACTACCCCATACCCACTACAACATCTTTGATGTTGCAGCTGTGGCACTTGGGAGTGTTAGGGTTTGGTTCAGGGCGAGGGTTGGTGTTGTTTGACAATCAAATACCCCAACTTTTCCAGATCGAACTGCTTCCCTTCTCGTTTTTACTAGGTGATTCATGGCTGCCTAGCCAAATTACCAGAAGACCCCCGCACACTGATTTCGTCATAATCGGCAGCTCAGATCTTGGTTATGAACGTGCTTTATCATTCTGGAAAGTAGAGATTAAGACCTTTCCAACGCGTATAAGCTCATTTCTAGAAGTTACCTGAGCAGCACGCAATGATTCGTTGAGGTCGTCAGACTTAATCTCTAATTAGTTCTCTCCAGATTTGCACGATTTCCATCATCATCAGCGCTGAACTGAAGCGGTACCTACTCCGTTCGACATCCGCGCCGACCTTCCTCGCTACGAAGTCTGCTTTCTTCCAAAGACTTCGCGATCGCGGCTACCCACCAGCTTTTCTGCACCCGATCTTCGCGAGTGTCACTTTCGCTCATCGACTCGAACTTCTCGCCAACGTCACCAGCAACCAATAACTCAAGCAACAATTATCTCTCTCCTCCCACGGGCCCCTAGTACTGAAGGCGGAGTTCACTCCGTGGACTGCCCGTCTCCGACTGTCAAACATGTGTATCTGTTATGTTTGCATAGACTGTATAGGGTCACCTCTTAGAGGGTACAACACTTAGGTACATTCACTTGTACTCTCTCACTACTGAAATCATTACTCAATTCTAAGATGGTATCAGCAGTAGGTAGGTCCCGCCGCCCGCCCATGCTTCCGCCCTAGGCCCTAGCCGCCCCCGCGCCCGTCCTAGTCGACCCCGCACCCGTCCTAGCTGGCCCCCGCGCCCATCTCACGGCCCTCGCGCCCGTCCTAACAGCCCCTTCGCCCGTCCTCACGGCCCCCGCGCCCGTCCTAGCCGGCCCCGCGCCCATCCTAGTTGGCCCCGCGCTCGTCCTAACGGCCCCCGCGCCCGTCCTCACGGCCCCCGCGCCCGTCCTAGCCGGCCCCGCGCCCGTCCTACCGGCCCCCGCGCCCGTCCTAGTGGCCCCCGCACCCGTCCTACCGGCCCTCGCGCCCGTCCTTACCGGCCCCGCGCCCATCCTAGCGGCCCCCTCGCCCATCCTACCGGCCCCCGCGCCCGTCCTAGCCAGCCCCGCGCCCGTCCTAGCTGGCCCCGCGCCCGTCCTACCGGCCCCTGCGCCCGTCCTAGTGGCCCTCGCGCCCGTCCTACCGGCCCTCGCGCCCCTCTTTACCGGCCCCGCGCCCGTCCTAGCGGCCCCCTCGCCCGTCCTACCGGCCCCCGCGCCCGTCCTAGCCGGCCTCGCGCCCGTCCTGGCGGCCCCCGCGCACGTCCTACCGGCCCCCGCGCCCGTCCTAGCCGGCCACCGCGCTCGTCCTAGCTGGCCCCCGTGCCCGTCCTAGAGGCCCCCGCGCCCGTCCTAGCTGGCCCCCACGCCCGTCCTACAAGCCTCCCTGCCCGTCCTAGCCGGCCCCTGCGCGCGCCCTGCCCGTCAATCTCCGGCCCCGTGCTCACCTTCCCACCAGACTGCCGCCGATCTGCGTGCGGCCCGCTCTCCGTACCTGCTACTGCACTGCACCCTCCCTGGTACGGTTCTCCATCACCTTGCACCGCACTGCACCTCCCTGCACTGCACGGCACCGCGCTGCATTGCACTGTACTGCACTGTACCGCGCTGCACCGCACTGTACCGCCCTGCACTGCCTCACCTGGCCCTGCCCTGCACTGTTCCTGATGGCGGCGGAGCTTCGCTTCGACGCTGAAGGCCAGCCTCTGGAGTTCGAGGCGTGGCTAGCCGACCTCCGCCGCCACCTCACTGGCCAGCGGCAGGATGGCCACCCGCTCTCGGCACACCTTGACGATACGCTTCCCTGCCCAGACCCCCCTGCTGTGCTGCCCATTGACCCCACACCTGCTGAGCGCGAGTCTACTGCGGCCGCTGCCCTCGCTCGCTCTGTCTGGCTTTCCCATGACGCTGTCGCCCAGCTTGCCATTAGCAATGCCCTCCCCCCGTCTGAGCGTCCTCGCTTTAGATCTATCACCACCGCCCAAGCTTTCTTAGACGCTGTTATCCGGCGCTATTCCGCCCCGCCTGCTGCCTCGGTGGGTCGCCTGATCTTATCGATGCTCTTTCCTGACCTTGCGTCTTTCCCCACTGTTGCTGACGTGGCTGCCCACATGCGCACGATAGATGAGACCTGGCGCGCTGCCTGCACTGACGCACAGCTTAGAGCCCACCAGCCGCCCCTTACCTCTACCCTCTACCTGCTTGCCACCCGCCTCCCTGACCGCCTTGCCGCTGCTCGTGACCGCTTCCTTAGCATCCACCCCGGTGACCTCACCCTCACAGACTTTGTATACACCCTGACTGTTATTGAGACCCGCCACCGCTCTATCGCTCAGGCGAGCGGTACTGTGCCGGTCCCTATCTTTCAGGGTTATGCCCCCGCTCAGTGCACCTTCTCCGATGGTTCTGCAGCTGTGGCTGAGACCGCTGCTGCAGCGCAGTTCTGTCCGGGGAAGGGCCGCCGCCCCAAGGCTGGGCGCGGCGGAGGTGGTGGGGGTGCCAGTGGAGGTGGGGGTGGAGTCGGGTCGTCTGGAGGTGGAGTGGACGACACCCTGCCAGGTCCAGCTGAGCAGCCGCCCAAGCAGCCGCAGCAGTTGCAGCAGCCGCAGCAGCCGCAGCAGCCGCCGCAGACGAGGCAGGCGAGTGCCCTCCTGCCCAGGTGGCCTGGCGCTGGTGGTGGTCGTGTGCGTGGTGGTGTGCAGGGTGGCGGTTCAGGAGGCGTGCGCTGTCAGTACCAGATCCAGACCGGTCCTCGCCGCGGCTTCGTTTGCGGTAAGATCGGTCACACCACTGCCCGCTGTTCTCGTCGCCTGGACGACTTGTTTCGTCAGCGTTTCGGCCCATCGCCCGACCTCCCGGACTGGCACAGTTTGCTTAGTCGTAGAGTTCAGATTTTTTACATGGACATGGATGCCATTGTTTCTGCCCTGCATTTGTTGTATGCCGATGACTCTAGTGTGCTCCCCTCTTATTACTCCTTATCGCCTAGTGTAGTTGTGCCTAGCTTAGCCTCCCCTGCTGCGTCAGGCGTAGGAGCTTCTGCCTTGTTTAGCCTTGGTGCTTCCGCCGTCGCCCCGTTGCCAGACGCCACTGCTTAGCTTTCCTTCACCTTGGATTCTGGCGCTTCCCGGTGTTTCTTCCGTGACTCTACTACGCTGACGCCGCTTCCTGTTCCTACTGCAGTTTCACTTGCTGACCTCTCCGCCGGTCCCGTAGTCGCTCGCAATTCCACCACCCTTCCCTGTCCGGCGGTTCCTTCGGGCTCTCTCACAGGTCTGCATATCCCCTCTTTCTCCAGGAACCTAGTTGGGATCGGCTGCCTCCAGGACCTTGGTGTCACCACTACGTTCCCTGGTCACGAGCGGTATGCTGTCTGTACCAGGGCCGCCACTGGTGCCCCCCTGTCCACGTTCCCCATGGACCCGGTGTCCAGCCTGTTCACCTTGGACATTGTGACCCCCCCGGCTGGGGCGCCCCTTCAGGTGGCAGGACGTAACGGGGCTAGAGGGGGGCGAGCGGAAGCGGTAGGTGGGGGGGGATCCTACCTACGCGTGATACCATATCAAAAATTGAACAAGTGATTTGATAGAGTGAGAGTACACACAGATATACCTAAGTGTTGTACTCTCTAAGAGGCGACCCTATACAGTCTATACAAACATGACAAATACACATGTTTGACAGTAGCTTATCGAAGCGTTTGGTGCACGCGTGGCTTCCGAGGCTGCCTGCTGGCGAGAATTCGAATTCAACTCATTCTCAAGACACCCTCGAGATTTGAAGACGTGGCCCCTTGGTTTTTACCAGGTTGGCTTCGATTGGTCCTCGATATTTTGGGTGACCCGGGTGAAGATTACATTGAGTTTGGTTCGGTTGGATGCTTAGTTTCTACCTAGAAGCTTTGCTTTGCTCATACTTTCTCATTGGCACTGAAGAAGGCTCGCTAGGGTATGCCCTGCGGCCGAAACATGTTTGTCACCTGTTTAATTGGTTGTTAAGGGAAGAGCTCCGACTACTCCAAACTCGCGTTTACATAAGCATCGTTTTCAACTGTTTTTTCCTACTTGCTAACCCGTCTCCTGACGCCGCGCTCACTGGAAGATGTCCAAGGAATTGCACAGATGGGAAAAGGAGAGAAACAGCGCACCGCGGTACTCAGTCCTGCAAGACGGCCCGCCCCCTCGCGGCTGGGAATCCCACCAGCCACCACCGAAGCTGTCTCATCACCATCCCATGCACCAACCGACATGCCTCCAACCAACGCACCGCCGTACTCAGTCCTGCAAGACGTCCCGCCCCCGCTCAGCTGGAAGTCCCCCCGGCGATCCCCGAAGCTGCCACCCCCGCAGCCCCCATGCGCCAGCTCCACTAGCAGCCTGTGGCCGTCCAAGTCATGGCCAGCTCTCTTATAGCGTCCTCCGCATCCCTGGGGTCCGCCAACTGGCAAGCGGGCGGACAGAAGATAGCAGGGGGGGGGGCAGGGGATGAGAGCCATGCCCGCCATGCGCCAGCTCCACGCGCAGCCTGTGGCCATCCAAGTCGTAGCCGTCCCTGCCTCAAATCGCATCTTCGGCGTCTCTGGGGTCCGCGGACTGACAGAGGAGAACAGGGAGGGGGGGAACAGACGACAGCAGGAGAAGGGGAGGGGAAAACCAGAAGACATCAGGAGAAGGGGAGGGGAAAACCAGAAGACAGCAGGAGAAGGGGAGGGGGGGAACAGACAGCAGGGGATAGCAGGGGGGATGGCAGGGGGGATAGCAGGGGGGATAGCAGGGGGGATAGCAGGGGGGGTAGCAGGGGGGATAGCAGGGGGGATAGCAGGGGGGATAGCAGGGGGGATAGCAGGGGGGATAGCAGGGGGGATAGCAGGGGGGGTAGCAGGGGGGATAGCAGGGGGGATAGCAGGGGGGATAGCAGGGGGGATAGCAGGGGGGATAGCAGGGGGGATAGCAGGGGGGATAGCACACTCCATCCTCTGCAACACGCTCCCACTCTAACGCGCTCTCACGCTCCCACGCTCCCAAGCTCACCTCCACGAACGCGAAGCCAGGGGGGCGAGGCGGAAGCGTGAGCTCGATGTCGAGAATCTTGCTGTACTGCGGAAATAGAGGAACAGGAGGCCGGGAACAAATGAAGACAGGGACAGAGGCAGGAGCAAATAGGGGGAGAATGGTTGCATCGGAAAATGGACGCGGTGACCTGCTGCGATCGCGACCGGTCTTGCTCTCCTCACGCACCTTACGGGACGGTTGCGGCAGGCCAAAAGGCAGGAGAGGACGCCCTGCTACGATCGCGGCTGGCCTTGCTCTCCTCACATACCTGAAGGGACGGACGGGAACAGGGACAGAGGCAATGGAGTCTTATCAAGGGATGGTGCTGGGTGTGAAGGGATGCTGCAGGATGTGGAAGAAACGGGAAAGACTGCATTGCTCAGAAGAGGGAGGGCAGCCGTGATCCCCCTTGCTCTCCTTGCGCACCTCAAGGCACGAGAGGGAAGACGGAGACAGAGGCAGGAGAGCAACGAGGGGCGGAATTTGGTTGGATGCGGTGCAAAGGGATGCTGCTGGGTGACCAGCTGTGGTCGTGACCCCCGCGCAGGAGCAAAGGGATGCGAAGGGATGCGAAGGGATGCGGAGGGAGTCTTATGAAGGACAAGGGGATGCGGTGACCTGAAGCAGCCAAACGAATGGCGTCTACCGAAAGGCGCCGATCGAATGGCGCCTAACGAAAGGCGCCGATCGAATGGCGCCTAACGAAAGGCGCTGACCGAATGGCGCCTAACGAAAAGCGCCAATAGAAAGGCGCCTATCGAAAGGCGCCTAACGAAAGGCGCCTAACGAAAGGCGCCGATCAAAGGCGCCAAACGAAACGCGCCTGGCGGAAGTCGCCTATCGAAAGGCGCCGTTCGAATGGCGCCTAGCGAAAGGCGCCTTCAGTTAGGCGCCTCGAAATTGTCAGATCAAGTGCGAAATTCGTGTGAAGTTGGGGGGGGTGTGTGTCTGGTTTGGGCGGAAAGATTGGTTGCGCGGTTGGTTTGGGTGAAGCGGTCAATCTGTGTGGTTGGTTTGGCTGGTCTAGGTGGGAAGGTTACGCTTCGTGGTTGGGTTGAGAGGTTTTACCGCGTGGTTGGTCTGTGAGGTTGACCAGCCATTCGTTTTGTGCAACACCTGACCAGCCATTTGCCACCCCCTCACACACGTCCCCGTTCGCTTTCCCTCTGCTCTCCCTTCGCCCCCACTCCCTGTCAGGCTCCTTCGTGTCATTCAGGATTTTGCCCGTCAAGTTTGCTAGCGCTACAATTCTGACACGAAGAAGCGTCACATTTCGTCATTTAGAAACACGCCTTCGCATCGAATCTTCTCCTCTCCCCCATCCGCTAGCAGTTACGCCAGCCCTCTCTCCTCGGGTGATGAGTATCTCCAGTGACGAGGAGTATCTGGTGGTGGCTCATTTCTACCCAACTCAACAGCCATCCCCTCCCCTTCCTCTACTCGTGTCCTTCTCGTCAATCACAGGATTTCCCAGTCTCCTCGCTGTTTCCCTCAGCACCGTATGTTCGCAACAGCACAGTTTTTTCACATCTCCTCGCTATTTCCCTGAGCACCGTATGTTCCCAACAGTCCAGGGTTAAGGGCTCCTCTGTGGTTGTGGCCGTACACTATTCAGGCTTCTTTTATCACTAGGATCACGTTCATTGAAGATAGGAATCGAACATTTTGAAGACATGCGAGGGCAATGAGCGCAAACAGAAACTAGACTAGTATGGCGAAGTGCCGATCAGGCACTGAACCACAACGCGGACACTTTTTATTCGACTATTCCGCACCATCATCGCATTTATTTCGGAGTCTGATACCCGTCGCCGCCGCAGTGCTGAATCCGCATCTGCGGTGCACGGGAGAGCCACGACTACCAATGAGCACGCCTCGTTGGACCTTGCTGACGAGATGTCTAGAAGTTGCCGTCCGCATGGTAGGTCGTTCCCGCGCTCCACCCGACGGGAATCGCATCGGTCCACACCAGCGGCTGCTGCGCGCCTCCCACCAGCGTCACGCGCAGATTCACCGCCACGCCCACGTCGACGACATCCTTCGCGGGATTGAGGGTCCACGTGGCGCTATTCCCCAGCTGGCTCATGCTCGTCCAATTCTCGCCGTCCGTCGATAATTCCAGCAGATCCACGCCGCCCGCGCCGGCCGCTCCTAAGACCTGGATCGCGAACCAGTATGGGTTGCTCCCGGGCATGATCTTAACCGCGATCCCGCCGTTGTTAGGGCAGTCCACGCCGCGGTACCTAATCTCCACGCGGCCCGCGGACCGGTCGTTGGAGATCTCGTCCCACGCGGTGTCGGAGAGCAGGAAGTCCTCGCCTTGAACTCCCACCGCTCGGACCGTCACGACGCTGCTGCGGCAGCTCGCGTGGTTGAGGCACTCGACTTCGTAGCACGTGCCGCAGCCCTTGCCGTTCTCGTACCTGCTATGAGGGATCATGGCGGTCATTCCGTTGTTGAAAAGCGGGTCGTCGCGGAGGTTACCCTCGTAGTTGCACGCACCGCCGCCGGAGTTGATGCCTTCGCTGAAAGTGGCGTAGACGGCGTTTGCGGAAGGGAGGAGGGTGGAAGCTAGGACGACGAGGAAGCCAAGGCAAGCCAAGCTGCTGGGGGGAATGGGGGCCATGGCTGAAACAGGAAACACTGGATCCTGCTGAGGATAATGGAGGGCTGAAACTCGATATTGCACGCTTGACAATCGGAATAGACGGCTGGAATCGGAGGACGGAAGCCGTTGGACTGTGAAATGGTGGTGTGAAGAAAGTTGAAGGAGCAGTAGATTAAATACTCCTCTAGCCTAACGGGAGGAGCACCTCACCAAGTAGCAAATCCGAACCGCCGTGGTGTAAGGACTTCTTGCAAGTCGGCAACCGCATCGCCATCGCCAACGATTATTGGAAGCTGACAATTATTGAATCACCACATTCGAATTCCTTGCATGCTGAAGTGGTGGCGTGGAGAGACTGTCTGAGGGACGGAGCGTGTCTTTCCGTCGTATCAGTTGACCTGGGCAGGTAGGAAAGAAAGGTCTGGGCGAACGCTCAACAAATCTGTGGACAAGGCCAGCAATACAATTTCTTGCCGTCAACTTGCCAGGTTTGTCCTGGGGCAGGGCGACGGAAATGCTCATTATTCTTCGTTCCGTCAAGCGGACTTCCCGCAAGCTTTCTGAGAGCGGGGCTTCGAGTTCAAACAGCACCTGCTTGCACTCACCACACTAAGCCGGCTTCCACCTCTCGAAGTACGATCTAGTGCCTCTTAGGGCGTTACCAGAGTGAATTTTCCCAAAGAATATTTCCGTTGCAGCTAGGTTTGTGGCCAGCTTTCACCGGTTCTGTGCTATGCAGCTATTCCGAGTACGGTACCTTATACAAAAAAAACACTTCGGAAACGCCCTTATCTTGAGCACTCAATTTAGCCATTTTTAAAAAATACACAAACATATCCACTAATATACAAATCTAACAAGCAACAAACGCGAAGCTCCCATTCGGTCACTGCACACACAAGTGAATCATACATACTAAATGAGGTTCAGCGAGCAATGCAACGATCAACCAGATGCCGCCTTCCCATCACTGCCAGCCTGAAAGCAAGAAACCCAAACGTGAAAGAGGAGGGGAGGGGGGGGAGGGGTTGGGGGAGGGGGGGGTTGAGAGGAGGAGAGGATTGTTCACAGGCGAGCGCAGAGGGAACTCGGGAGGAGACTTGGATCGAGAGCGGGAGCTAGGCAGAGAGCAAAAGAGCAAGACGGGGAGGGTGGATAGGGTTTACTGGAGAGCGAGCACGCTCGGGAGACTCGGCAGGAGACTTGGATCGAGAGCGGGAGCAAGAGGGAGTGGGTGGAGAAGGGGGAGGGAAAGGGCAGGAGAGCGCGAGAAGGGGGAAGGGGAGGGGGGAAGGGCGGGAGACGAGATCAGAAGGGAGCTTACAGGAGAGCGAGCACGCTCGGGAGACTTGGCAGGAGACTTGGATCGAGAGCGGGAGCGAGAGGGGGACTTGGATCCGCTCTTCTTGGGCTGCAAGGGGGAGGTAGGAGAAGGAAATATTGGCCGTTGCCTGAGTGAGAGATGGGCTGGGCCGAATCTTGAGGCACATGGCACTACACGTGACTTCGCATTCCGACCATGAGCGCGAGCGAGCGTTGGAACGCGAGCGCAAGCGAAAGCCGGAAAGGCGATCACTCGCAGAGCGGTGGGCTGCGGACGAGGTGTGTGTGGCGGGAGGGGCAGGGCAAGTGAAAGTCGGAAAGGCGATCACTCGCAGAGCGAGAGAGAAGAGGAGAACGGCAGGCATGCCAAGTCAAACCCTAAGCGGAAATTCACGCACAGATCGCGAGCGCAAGCAACACTTGGGATTTGGAACGGTATCAGGAGCGAAAACCGGAAGCGGAGCGAGAGCGTTATCAAGGTCGGGAAATTGCATCTCTTGAACAGAAGATTGATTCGACACACCAACGGGACAATATACACCTTGATCAACATACCACATACCGATCGCGGGCGCGAGCGAGACTTGGACTTGGAGCGAGAGCGCGAGCACAGACTGGAAGCAGAGCACGGACTGGAAGCAGAGCACGCATGAGCGCGAGCGGGATCGAGAGCGGGACATTATACACCTTGAGTGGCAAACCACGTACCGATCGAGAGCGCGAGCGAGACTTGGACTTGGAGCGGGATCGGGAGCGCGAACCCGAAGCGGAGCGAGAGCGGGAGCGAGACCGTGAACGGGACCGCTCGCGGCGACGCGGGGACCTGCTGCGATCGCGACCGGTCTTGCTCTCCTCACGCACCTGAAGGGACAGGGAATGAGGTCATGGGCAAGAGGCAGGAGCAACGAGGGGGGGAATGGTTGGATCGGAAGCAACTCTCGTGAAGGAAAGTGGACGGGGTGTCCTGCTGTGATTGCGGCCGGTCGTGCTCTCCTCACGCATCTGAAGGGACAGAGAGCATGAGAAGAAGGGAGAGCGGCAGCATTAGAGCAGGCCTGGAAGGAAAGAGGAGCAAGGGAGGAGGCCGACGCGGTGACCAGCTGCGATCGCGGCCAGCCTTGCTCTTCTCACACACCTGAAGGGATGGACAGGGGAGGCCAAGAGGCAAGAGAGGGGGGAGGGGAGGGGGCAGGAGAAACAGAGGCAGAGGGGATAAGAAAGCAATCTCGTGAAAGAGAGAGGATGAGGTGAGCTGCTGCAATCACAACTGGCATCCACTCCTCATACCACAGGCGAGTCCACATGGCAGGGGAAGGGGAAGGTGGGGCAGGAGAGGAGGCAGGAGAGGGGGCAGGAAAGGGGCAGGAAAACGGGCAGTCAAAGGGGCAAAAAGGGGCTGATGAAAGGGCAGATGCAGGGGAAAAAGAAAGAGGATGCGCGAAGGCCGAAATGGGCGAAGGTTGGGCACAGGAGGTTCACGACAGGACAGAGGTTCGGAATTGGATGGAGGCTCGGAACAGGATGGAAGGATGGAGGTTCGGAACTGGATGGAGGTTCGGGTCTGGATGGACGTTTGGGAATGGATGCAGGTCCGGGACTTACTCGAATGTAGCAGCCACGGGAAAAAGGGTTTTTGAACTCCGAATCGTCCAGCTTGCGGACCTGATGGGAGAAAACAGGGGGGTGGTGGGAGGGGATGGGTGGGAGGGGATAGGAGATGGGTAGAGAGGGAGAAGCATGGGCGCATTGAAGGGGGGCGGAGATACAGCTAGGATCAAGACAAACGCGAGCAGAGAATTATCCTTACTCACTCATAACCAGCTTTTGCATCACTCGATTATTGCAACACCTGGGTTGTCATGTCCTAGATTCCACTTGTCACAATTCAATTTGTCACACCCCACTTTAGTCACACACCAGGTTTGTCACACCCCGATATTTTGTCAGACCCCGTTTTTACACCCCGATATTTTGTCACGCCCCTCTTTTACAACTGTTTTGTGTCACACCCCGTTTTTACAACCGTTTTTAGTCACACCCCAGTTCTGACACACCCCAGTTTTGTCACACACCGTTTTGTCACACCCCACGTCCATCCCCGCTTTTGTCACACCCCTGCTTCTCATGCAGAGACCATGCCTCAACCCTGCTTGCGACCATGCCTCACCCCTGCTTGCGACCATGACTCACCCCTGCTCACCCCATGACTCACCGCATACTTCATGTCCTCCTCGTTGCTGTAGTCCACGATCCCCATCATGCCTGGAGGGAGGGGTGCGTGCGTGCGAGTGCGGCAAGGGTTGGGGTGGTAAGGGGAGGGGTGGTAAGGGGAGGGGTGGTGAGGACAAACAGTGAAGTGAGACGGAACAAGCAGCTTACTTCGTGTCCTCCTCGTTGCTATGCTCCACGTTTCCCATCATGCCTGGGATGGGAGAAAGGGGGGAGGAAGTGGGGGAAGGAGCGCGGCAAAAGGATGGTCACATGGGGGCAAAGCAAGAGAAGCATAATTCGTGTCCTCCTCCCTGCTGTAGTCATGAAACCCCACGCACGCTCACCATGCAACCCCGTGCATGCGTCCACGCCTAATAATACTCATGCCTCAATGCCTATCCTGGCCTCTGCGCCTATCGCTGCATTTCTTGGAAGACCTGCGTGAAACGCAAGTCGCCAGCACGCCTACCGCCATGCGTCTATGCCATGCCACCACATGCGTCTAGACATGGTTAAAATGCGATGCGATGCGATATCGCATCGCTGCAAAATTCTGTTTCAAAAACTGACGGGAGAATGAGATATTGTGGGCCCTCTCTGATGTAGAGCGTGTTAGAGGGGCAGGGGTTGGATTCTGTAGATGCGCAGGGATTTAGTGCGGTTGAAGTGGTGGAAATTGGTTGGAGTTCCAACCAAATGACTTAGTGAGGGTCGAGATTTCAATCAACCTCCTAAATCCCTTTAACCGCACACCACCACATTCCATCCACCACCGCCCATGTCAAAAAAAAAAAACGCAATCGCAAAATGTGATAAAACGCGATGCGATGCGATTTACCCATGTCTACATGCGCCCATCACGCCACGCCATGCATTCATGTTACGCCATGCATTCATGTTACGCCATCATTCATGTTATGCCATGCATTCATGTTACGCCATGCATTCGTGTTACGCCATGCATTCATGCTACGCCATGCATTCATGTTACGCCATGCATTCGTGTTACGCCATGCATTCATGTTACGCCATGCATTCATGCTCGCCATGCATTCATGTTACGCCATGCATTCATGTTACGCCATGCATTCATGTTACGCCATGCATTCATGTTACGCCATGCATTCATGTTACGCCATGCATTCATGCTACGCCATGCATTCATGTTACGCCATGCATTCGTGTTACGCCATGCATTCGTGTTACGCCATGCATTCATGTTACGCCATGCATTCATGTTACGCCATGCATTCATGTTACGCCATGCATTCATGTTATGCCATGCATTCGTGTTACCCTATAACAGCACTCAACACCACACGCCTACCGTTGCTCTCCTTGAAGACCTGTGCAAAGCACACGTCGCCTGCACGCCGCATGTGATCCTGATGGGGGCCAGACAGAGAGAGGGAGACGCAATGCGGGGAGAGGGTGAGAGGGAGAAGCGCAATGTGGGGATGGAGGGGCATTGCACGGATGGCGAAAGGACCTGTGCAAAGGACCTGGGCCACAGAGGCGTGGGGAAAGAGGAGAGGGTGGGGGAGCATCAGGGGAGGAGGGCGAGTGAAGAGCGAGTGAAGAGCGAGTGGAGAGCAAGTGAAGAGCGAGTGAAGAGCGAGTGAAGAGCGAGTGAAGAGCGAGTGAAGAGCGAGTGAAGAGCGAGTGAAGAGCGAGTGAAGGGCGAGTGAAGAGCGAGTGAAGAGCGAGCGAAGAGCGAGTGAAGAGCGAGTGCAGAGCGAGAGAAGAGCGAGTGAAGAGCGAGTGAAGAGCGAGTGAAGAGCGAGAGAAGAGCGAGTGAAGAGCGAGAGAAGAGCGAGTGAAGAGCGAGTGAAGAGCGAGTGAAGAGCGAGTGAAGCGCGCGTGAAGAGCGAGTGAAGAGCGAGAGAAGAGCGAGTGAAGAGCGAGTGAAGAGCGAGAGAAGAGCGAGTGAAGAGCGAGTGAAGAGCGAGAGAAGCGCGAGTGAAGAGCGAGAGAAGAGCGAGTGAAGAGCGAGTGAAGAGCGAGTGAAGAGCGAGTGAAGAGCGAGTGAAGAGCGAGTGAAGAGCGAGTGAAGAGCGAGTTAAGGGCGAGTGAAGGGCGAGTGAAGAGCGAGTGAAGAGCGAGTGAAGAGCGAGTGAAGGGCGAGTGAAGGGCGAGTGAAGAGCGAGTGAAGAGCGAGTGAAGAGCGAGTGAAGAGCGAGTGAAGGGCGAGTGAAGAGCGAGAGAAGAGCGAGTGAAGAGCGAGTGAAGAGCGAGTGAAGAGCGAGTGAAGAGCGAGTGCAGAGCGAGAGAAGAGCGAGTGAAGGGCGAGTGAAGGGCGAGTGAAGAGCGAGTGAAGAGCGAGTGAAGAGCGAGTGAAGGGCAAGTGAAGAGCGAGTGAAGAGCGAGTGAAGAGCGAGTGAAGAGCGAGTGAAGAGCGAGTGAAGAGCGAGTGAAGAGCGAGTGAAGGGCGAGTGAAGGGCGAGTGAAGAGCGAGTGAAGAGCGAGAGAAGAGCGAGTGAAGAGCGAGTGAAGAGCGAGAGAAGCGCGAGTGAAGAGCGAGAGAAGAGCGAGTGAAGAGCGAGTGAAGAGCGAGTGAAGAGCGAGTGAAGAGCGAGTGAAGAGCGAGAGAAGAGCGAGTGAAGAGCGAGAGAAGAGCGAGTGAAGAGCGAGTGAAGAGCGAGTGAAGGGCGAGTGAAGAGCGAGTGAAGAGCGAGTGAAGAGCGAGTGAAGGGCGAGTGAAGAGCGAGAGAAGAGCGAGTGAAGAGCGAGTGAAGAGCGAGTGAAGAGCGAGTGAAGAGCGAGTGCAGAGCGAGAGAAGAGCGAGTGAAGGGCGAGTGAAGAGCGAGTGAAGAGCGAGTGAAGAGCGAGTGAAGAGCGAGTGAAGAGCGAGTTAAGGGCGAGTGAAGGGCGAGTGAAGAGCGAGTGAAGAGCGAGTGAAGAGCGAGTGAAGGGCGAGTGAAGGGCGAGTGAAGAGCGAGTGAAGAGCGAGTGAAGAGCGAGTGAAGAGCGAGTGAAGAGCGAGTGAAGAGCGAGTGAAGAGCGAGTGAAGAGCGAGTGAAGAGCGAGTGAAGAGCGAGAGAAGAGCGAGTGAAGAGCGAGAGAAGAGCGAGTGAAGAGCGAGTGAAGAGCGAGTGAAGGGCGAGTGAAGAGCGAGAGAAGAGCGAGTGAAGAGCGAGTGAAGAGCGAGTGAAGAGCGAGTGAAGAGCGAGTGAAGAGCGAGTGAAGAGCGAGTGAAGAGCGAGTGAAGAGCGAGTGAAGAGCGAGTGAAGAGCGAGAGAAGAGCGAGTGAAGAGCGAGAGAAGAGCGAGTGAAGAGCGAGTGAAGAGCGAGTGAAGGGCGAGTGAAGAGCGAGTGAAGAGCGAGTGAAGAGCGAGTGAAGGGCGAGTGAAGAGCGAGTGAAGAGCGAGTGAAGAGCGAGAGAAGCGCGAGTGAAGAGCGAGAGAAGAGCGAGTGAAGAGCGAGTGAAGAGCGAGTGAAGAGCGAGTGAAGAGCGAGTGAAGAGCGAGTGAAGAGCGAGTGAAGAGCGAGTTAAGGGCGAGTGAAGGGCGAGTGAAGAGCGAGTGAAGAGCGAGTGAAGAGCGAGTGAAGGGCGAGTGAAGGGCGAGTGAAGAGCGAGTGAAGAGCGAGTGAAGAGCGAGTGAAGAGCGAGTGAAGAGCGAGTGAAGAGCGAGTGAAGAGCGAGTGAAGAGCGAGTGAAGAGCGAGTGAAGAGCGAGAGAAGAGCGAGTGAAGAGCGAGAGAAGAGCGAGTGAAGAGCGAGTGAAGAGCGAGTGAAGGGCGAGTGAAGAGCGAGTGAAGAGCGAGTGAAGAGCGAGTGAAGGGCGAGTGAAGAGCGAGAGAAGAGCGAGTGAAGAGCGAGTGAAGAGCGAGTGAAGAGCGAGTGAAGAGCGAGTGCAGAGCGAGAGAAGAGCGAGTGAAGGGCGAGTGAAGAGCGAGTGAAGAGCGAGTGAAGAGCGAGTGAAGAGCGAGTGAAGAGCGAGTTAAGGGCGAGTGAAGGGCGAGTGAAGAGCGAGTGAAGAGCGAGTGAAGAGCGAGTGAAGGGCGAGTGAAGGGCGAGTGAAGAGCGAGTGAAGAGCGAGTGAAGAGCGAGTGAAGAGCGAGTGAAGAGCGAGTGAAGAGCGAGTGAAGAGCGAGTGAAGAGCGAGTGAAGAGCGAGTGAAGAGCGAGAGAAGAGCGAGTGAAGAGCGAGAGAAGAGCGAGTGAAGAGCGAGTGAAGAGCGAGTGAAGGGCGAGTGAAGAGCGAGAGAAGAGCGAGTGAAGAGCGAGTGAAGAGCGAGTGAAGAGCGAGTGAAGAGCGAGTGAAGAGCGAGTGAAGAGCGAGTGAAGAGCGAGTGAAGAGCGAGTGAAGAGCGAGAGAAGAGCGAGTGAAGAGCGAGAGAAGAGCGAGTGAAGAGCGAGTGAAGAGCGAGTGAAGGGCGAGTGAAGAGCGAGTGAAGAGCGAGTGAAGAGCGAGTGAAGGGCGAGTGAAGAGCGAGTGAAGAGCGAGTGAAGAGCGAGAGAAGCGCGAGTGAAGAGCGAGAGAAGAGCGAGTGAAGAGCGAGTGAAGAGCGAGTGAAGAGCGAGTGAAGAGCGAGTGAAGAGCGAGTGAAGAGCGAGTGAAGAGCGAGTTAAGGGCGAGTGAAGGGCGAGTGAAGAGCGAGTGAAGAGCGAGTGAAGAGCGAGTGAAGGGCGAGTGAAGGGCGAGTGAAGAGCGAGTGAAGAGCGAGTGAAGAGCGAGTGAAGAGCGAGTGAAGAGCGAGTGAAGAGCGAGTGAAGAGCGAGTGAAGAGCGAGTGAGCGAGTGAAGAGCGAGTGAAGAGCGAGTGAAGAGCGAGAGAAGAGCGAGTGAAGAGCGCGAGAAGAGCGAGTGAAGAGCGAGTGAAGAGCGAGTGAAGGGCGAGTGAAGAGCGAGTGAAGAGCGAGTGAAGAGCGAGTGAAGGGCGAGTGAAGAGCGAGAGAAGAGCGAGTGAAGAGCGAGTGAAGAGCGAGTGAAGAGCGAGTGAAGAGCGAGTGAAGAGCGAGTGAAGAGCGAGTGAAGAGCGAGTGAAGAGCGAGTGAAGAGCGAGAGAAGAGCGAGTGAAGAGCGAGAGAAGAGCGAGTGAAGAGCGAGTGAAGAGCGAGTGAAGGGCGAGTGAAGAGCGAGTGAAGAGCGAGTGAAGAGCGAGTGAAGGGCGAGTGAAGAGCGAGAGAAGAGCGAGTGAAGAGCGAGTGAAGAGCGAGTGAAGAGCGAGTGAAGAGCGAGTGCAGAGCGAGAGAAGAGCGAGTGAAGGGCGAGTGAAGGGCGAGTGAAGAGCGAGTGAAGAGCGAGTGAAGAGCGAGTGAAGGGCAAGTGAAGAGCGAGTGAAGAGCGAGTGAAGAGCGAGTGAAGAGCGAGTGAAGAGCGAGTGAAGAGCGAGTGAAGGGCGAGTGAAGAGCGAGTGAAGAGCGAGTGAAGAGCGAGTGAAGAGCGAGTGAAGAGCGAGTGAAGAGCGAGTGAAGAGCGAGTGAAGAGCGAGTGAAGAGCGAGAGAAGAGCGAGTGAAGAGCGAGTGAAGAGCGAGTGAAGAGCGAGTGAAGAGCGAGTGAAGAGCGAGAGAAGAGCGAGTGAAGAGCGAGTGAAGAGCGAGTGAAGAGCGAGTGAAGAGCGAGTGAAGAGCGAGTGAAGGGCGAGTGAAGAGCGAGTGAAGAGCGAGTGAAGGGCGAGTGAAGAGCGAGTGAAGAGCGAGTGAAGAGCGAGTGAAGAGGCGAGTGAAGAGCGAGTGAAGAGCGAGTGAAGAGCGAGTGGAAAGAGCGAGTGAAGAGGAGTGAAGAGGCGAGTGAGGGGCGAGTGAAGAGGAGTGAAGAGCGAGTGAAGAGCGAGTGAAGGGCGAGTGAAGAGCGAGAGAAGAGCGAGTGAAGAGCGAGTGAAGAGCGAGTGAAGAGCGAGTGAAGGGCGAGTGAAGAGCGAGAGAAGAGCGAGTGAAGAGCGAGTGAAGAGCGAGTGAAGAGCGAGAGAAGAGCGAGTGAAGAGCGAGAGAAGAGCGAGTGAAGAGCGAGTGAAGGGCGAGTGAAGAGCGAGTGAAGAGCGAGTGAAGAGCGAGTGAAGAGCGAGTGAAGAGCGAGTGAAGAGCGAGTGAAGAGCGAGTGAAGAGCGAGTGAAGAGCGAGTGAAGGGCGAGTGAAGAGCGAGTGAAGAGCGAGTGAAGAGCGAGTGAAGGGCGAGTGAAGAGCGAGAGAAGAGCGAGTGAAGAGCGAGTGAAGAGCGAGTGAAGAGCGAGTGAAGGGCGAGTGAAGAGCGAGAGAAGAGCGAGTGAAGAGCGAGAGAAGAGCGAGTGAAGAGCGAGTGAAGAGCGAGTGAAGGGCGAGTGAAGAGCGAGTGAAGAGCGAGTGAAGAGCGAGTGAAGGGCGAGTGAAGAGCGAGAGAAGAGCGAGTGAAGAGCGAGTGAAGAGCGAGTGAAGAGCGAGTGAAGAGCGAGTGCAGAGCGAGAGAA